TGTATAAAATTGGACGAAGCACCTGGCATTAACTCGCTCCTCTTTTCTGATGAGAATGGTATAAGCCGGATATCCTTTATTTTTTTATATTGAAACTTTGTTTGTGATGATGAAACTAAGTATTGGAAACCTAGATGACAGTTTCCGGAGGAGGAATTAGCAAATGTGTGCGCGTATAGATAATTAAGAATATTTGCTTTATGAACAGTCCATGCTGGACGTGGGAAAGGAAGGATAAGCTACATCGTCATGTCATACGTAGGTGCTGTACCCACTTGGGAATCCGAGGGATTTTAGTCTTTCAGCTCTAGGTCTTCTTTGTCCACTGGGTTGCTGGGCGCGAAACCTACTCGTTACTCAGAAATAGGTTCCATGTGCCTTGACAGGGACAGGTTTCTCACACAGGATTGCTTTCAGACATGTTCTTCATTTTGATTATATGGCAGCAAATCCCACTTTATTTGATTATATGGCAGCAAATCCCACTTTATAGAAGCGTGTACCCCAAACAAACATCTAGGTCCTAGATTCTAGGATTTCATCCTTTAATTCATCACCTGCAGAAAAGAAGCCAAATGGACAAAAAGTGGTGTTGTGGTGCTGTAGTGCAAGACTTGCACCTTTTAATATGAGTGTTGTGATATTGCATGTACACCAAAAGGAGGAAGTTGCACCAGAGCACCGCAGAGCTGTTTAATAAAAGTAGCAATATCCTGATGATGATGATGACGATAATGGTTTAAGTCAAATACAGGCTGTCCTTGACTTATACTTTATCAACTATTCAAAGTTATGACAATGCTGAAGAAAGTGACTTATGACTGGTCCTTGCATTTATGATTGTTGCAGTGTCCCCACAAACAGGATCAAAATTTGGACATTTTGCAGTTGGCATGTATTTATCACCGTTGTAGTGTCCCAGTGTCATGTGATTGCCATTTATGATCTTCCCAGTCAGCTTTCAACAAGCAAAGTAAATGGAGAAAGCCAAATTTGGTTGAACAGTTGTGTGGTTAATGATTGTGGCAAAAAAGGCCTTAAAAATCAGGTGTGAGTCATTTAACAACTGCCTTGCTTAGAAATGGAATCCCAATTGTGGTTGTAAGTTGAAGCCTAGGAAGTTGATGATTATTAATTTAAGCCAGGCATGTCAAACTGCCAGCCCACGGGCCGGATGCATCATGCTAAAACCATGCCCACCCCATTGCTGGCAATGGGGAAAAAGTCGTGATACATCGCACAACGTCATGTGACATCGCGAGTTTGACATGCCTGATTTAAGCTAAATCCTACAGGACTATGATTAGGTTTTTTTAAGGTCATATTTGAAAATAATTAGAGTTACTCAGTAAATCATGGTTTAGCATTTTATGTAAATGTTTTATTCAATCTTCACACACACATAAATTATATAACTTATCTTCAGAAACATTGTACAATATTTTTTGCTAACAGCCCTGCATATAACCAAATCAATGTGCTGCTATAAAATACTTACTTTAAAAAAGATTAATGGACAATGGATAACCTACATACAAGTAATTCAAGGCCACTTTTTCATATTTCTGTATTTGATTCTTTTTTAATATATTTATTTCTAAGACTTAATTGATTTTTTTAAAATTAAGCTTGAATGATGAGGCTTTAATTTCTAATTCTTATGACATGGAATTTTTCCAAAATAAGCTCTCTAGAACTTAAGTATACCTAAAAGTGCACCTGTTTCTTTTCTGCATGCAGAAACTGGCAGATGTTCAATTATGGCCAAAAGAATTATTAGGGCAATTCATTGCTAGTTACGCACCTCATGTGCTTTTTTGAATCCAATCACATTTCCATGTTACCTTATATTTATTGGTTTATAATCTTAACTATTCATGTGCATTATTTTGGCTTTTTTTCAGATATTTTTGGAATTTAAATAATATAAACAATAATTTACTAGCTAAAACATATTTTAGACATTTTTGCTCAAAGAAATCTTTCTAAATTTTCATACATTCTCCTTTGGTACATCTTTAATAAAACCCTTAAACATTGTTTAAGGTGGATAATATCTCCATCATTTAAAGAAACAATTATCATATTATGATTTCAAGCTACTGGGGAGAGCTAATTCCTTAAAAAAAAATCACACAGTATGCATGTTTATGTATGTTCCAATAAATCTGTAGATCTTTCTCACTATTTTTTCTACTGTTCTATTTCTGCTTCAGGTAGTGAGAAATTTTTGGAATCCTCTCTTGAAGGAGAAATTATTCTGCCTTGAATTGCACAAAAATGAACATTTAATGAATTGTGCAATTCAAGGCAGAATAATGATTTGATAAAGAAATAATGATTTGATAAAAAACATTGATGAGCATCTTTGATTTTGATTTTTGAAGTCGGTATATACTACCCTCTCCACTTCTCCTAGTCTGCTAATGAGAATATCATATAGTAGTGTGTAAAGTACTTTGCTAAAATTAAAGTATCTACAACATTTCTATGCTTTACTAAGAAAGTTGTTTGATTAACAATAATGGTAGATTTGCTCTTGACAAATGTATGTTGACATCTGATAATTATGCCATTGTATTCTAGAAGCTTATGTGTTGCTTTTTTATCATCTGTTCCAGAATATTTCAAGGCATTTATGTTTATTGGCTGGATTCTCATTCTTCCTTTTTGATAGGGCAATTATTTTCCTCCAGTCCCCTGGCATTTGTTCTAGTTTGCTGTTAATGCAACTGGAAAGGCCAGCTGGCAAATTGAAAGGCACAAAATGCAAGAACAAGATGGCACTCAGAGACCATCAAAACCAGATTTGGAGTTAGCCAGCCTTGTTCTGTTCTGCCACTAGCAAAATAGGTCTTGGTCCTCCCCAGGTACCCATCCCCTTAATCGGTTTATTAATGCATGTACTACATTGGGCTTTCATGTTTATATGTTTCATGTTGCTAGCTGCACAATGTGGCAATGCAGCATGAAATACTTGGGAATTAGTGAAAAAAATGGGGCAATATGCCTGTGTTCAGATTATGCTGAGGTGAGACTAAACCCAAGCAGCCAAACTGGGCACAGGTTCCCAGCAAGCAGGTTGATATTAGACTGATTGATCAGAAGGCAGATTGACCTAGCTTAGCTTATGGATCTGAACCCTCCATTGGTACTTTGAAGAAAAAAAATGTGGCCTAATCCAGTTCCATACCATGCCTCTTTTGTACCAATCCTTTCTGTCTTTAGTCAGTGAATTTTGGCGTGATTTAATTTATATTCACTGAACTTGTCCCAGGGATTTGTATCACAGTTCTCTTAACTTTTGCTGTATTGTTTGGTGAAACGTCATCACTTTATTAAAAGTCTTATTTGCTGAACTCTTAGGTGTAAATTTCTATTAATTCTTTTCTTGTCCTCCTACTCAAAACAGACTTCCTTGATCTTTATAGTTGATCTTAAATCTTCTTCTCTACTGATCAAGAGCAAAAGATGTCTGAATGACAAAGAAATGTTTCTCCTTCAAAGGATTTTCTTTATTTCTTTTGAAACACACCAAGTATTTATTTATTTATTTATTTATTATTCAAATTTCTACCCCGCCCTTCTCCCAACGGACTCAGGGCGGCTTACAGCCATTTAAAACAGGTACATGATACAAAATACTAAATTTAAAATGTAATTAAAATAGAATATTAATTATTGGCCTTTTCTTATTAAAATTATTTTAAAACCAAATTAAGATAACCCTTAGGCCAGNTTGAGGGCGCGGCGGAAGGAGGGGAGATCCGGAATCACCCGGATCTCTGGGGGTAGTTCGTTCCATAGGGTGGGGGCTCCAACCGAGAAGGCCCTCCCCCTGGGGGTCGCCAGCCGGCACTGTCTGGCTGACGGCACCCTGAGGAGACCCTCTCTGTGGGAGCGTATCGGCCGATGAGAGGTAATCTGAGGCAGAAGGCAGTCTCGGAGATAACCAGGTCCGATGTCATGGAGTGCTTTAAAGATGATAATCAGCACCTTGAAGCGCACCCGGAAAGCCACCGGCAGCCAGTGCAGCTCGCGCAACAGCGGCGTTACATGGGAGCGACGAGTCACTCCCATCACCGCCCGCGCGGCTGCATTCTGGACTAACTGGAGCCTCCGAATGCTCCTCAAAGGGAGCCCCATGTAGAGAGCATTACAGTAGTCCAGGCGGGAGGTGACAAGAGCATGGGTGACTGTGCGCAAGGCGTCCCGGTCCAGAAAAGGCCGCAACTGGTGAACCAGGCGTACCCGGTAAAACGCCCCCCTGGCCACGGCCGTCAACTGGTCTTCTAGTGTCAGCCGTGGATCCAGGAGGACACCCAGATTGCGCACCCTCTCCGAGGGAGCCAAAGTTTCGCCCCCTATAGTCAGTGATGGAGTCAGCTGACTATGCCGGGGAGCCGGTAACCACAGCCACTCAGTCTTGGAAGGGTTGAGCCTGAGTCTGTTTCTCCCCATAAGCACTTATAAGTATAAGTGCTTATAAACAAATTTGGAAACCAAACCTTGGAAAACAGAATACGGTACATGTATTTTTTTTTATACAATACAAATATAATTTGCTAATATACAGTAAGTAAATTTGAATTAAATTGCTCCTTTGTAACTGATTTAGCTTATGAGTTTGACTTAAACATGCATAATAATGAAGCATAAAATCTTTGACATTGCTAACAGAGGGAACACTCAGGCTATGGAGACTTGAAAGTGAAATCTGACATCAGGTCTCTGTCCCCATTTGTCCCAGCCTTCTTTGCTGATAGTTTATGAATCACAGCAGATTTCACCATAGAAAACTTTAAAATGAAAGTAGCACGATGAATGTGGGTGGATTCAAAGGATTCTCAGTCCCCAACTTTCCAACATTTCCTTCATCTGGAAAAAAAAACACCTTAAAGCAGCCACTTGAAAACTTTTTTTTTTATGTGTCTTCCTGCTGATCTGCAGCAGGCAAGTTTTGTATTAGAATCAGGGAATATTTTTATTGCTTTTTCATGTTTTGTTAGGTATACTTTAGTAAGACTGGATTTAGCATTTCTTGTTCACATTATTGATTGCCAAAGAGTGTCGAGTGTAGGGTTCTCTTATGCAGCCCTCCTGTTAAGCTCACAATAAAGTCATAGCTTCCCATAGATAAAAAAAATTCTTTATGGATTGAAAGATACTGATAGAAAGAAAATACAATTTGTATGCAGGTAGCACTATAGATATGTATATTTTATAGTGTACTTATATAGAGATCTTTGGCTGGAAAGCTATTGCTGGTCTGAAATCCTATAACCGTTTTATGGGTATCTGAGCATAATCCTGAAAACTTGCAGAAACTCATTCCAAGTGTGACAGATGTGGTTTATAAAGTTCTTCCCTGATCACTCACAAAAGCTCGTATTCAAGATATTTTTTTCAGTGCGTCTCTGCTGGTTAGTGCTTTGACTATGCTCAGTCCTTTTCAAAATATACAGATTAACAGGAATTCAGGAATTATACAGATGATAATTCTTTGGTGTTCTCATTGCTGTTTGAGTGATTCATATGTTTGTGTTTCCTCTCCCAGCCCTGTCGAATTTCAGTTAATGGTCTGTCTATACATGGAAATATTAGGAAAAACTTGATGAACAACACGATGCAAGGAATAATGAGAGCGAGCAAATAAATTGGAGGAAGGAACCATGGGTATGAGAGATGATTCAAGAACCTCTTCCCACCATATCCCAGTGTATGGGCAGTACACAAAACCAGTGTAACATAGCCCAGATAAGACTGTGGAAACAAACAAAAACAATGGTTAGTAAACAAATATTAACTTCTGAATGCATTTTCTAGAAAGTTAGTGTAAAAATTGTAGAGGATTCTATATTGCTAACCAAAATTGGACCAAACTAGCTTTGCTAGAGTTTCTAGAAATGCAGCCCAACAGAATGAGAATGCAAGTCTCAAGTGTATTGAACTATATTAAGTTATCCTAGATTAGAGCTGTAATTTAAGACCACTGTATTTATTAGAATGGTTTAATTGATTGAACCTGACAAGACTGCAAAACTCTGTGCAAAATAACACTCAAATTGTATAAGATAAACATTTTAGTAATATGGACTGTCAAGGACAGTTTCCTTTTTCGCATTAAACTGAAATATATAAAATGAAAAATAGGAAGCCTTAGTAATTGCATAATACATTTATTTATCCAAAATACATTAGTTTATATAAGCTTTTTATCTAAAAAGAACCGGCAACAACCCTCCCTTTGCTACAGTGTCTATTTATATACATACATATACAAAGATCTGCAACACAGCCTCTTTAATGTATATGCATCAATAATTAGTCTTCATAAACATATCAAAATAAGGAAAAGAATTAGAAAACACTCATTTCAAGGCTGTTTTATGTGCTGGGGAAATCACAGAGTAATCTCAGTTTTTCATTTTGAACCTGGGACTCTGCTTGTATTTTACACTTTAACACTCACAATTCCCAAAGAGGAGTTATGAAAGTTGAAGTTCTACCTATTTAGAAGGAAGGAGATAGGAGAAAGATGTCACAGTTCTGAGAACATGGCATCTAATTTCCCAAAGAGAGAGAATCAGGAGAATACAGCTTTGGTGAGCATGGTTATTAAAATTCCTTGTACATCCCTGCCCATGTTGTTTTAATGTCTGGTTAAAAACTGCTGAAGTAGAGGAGGGGAAACAATCCTTGTCCAAAGATTAAGATAAATACTAGTTAGTTACACCTGATAGGCAAAAAAGGATGAGAACAAGGTAAATTTACTAGCCAAACAGAATCTTACCTGCACAAACCTAAACTCTCTCCAATTAACACTGTTGCTGACAGAAGGCAAGGATGTTATCCCAAGGAGAACAAACAGGAAAAAACCTAAGATTCCCAAAGCAAGGTAAGAATCACTGTGCCAGGCAAAGCCAGTCCAAAATGGTTCTGTTTTGTTATTAAACACCTTAATGGAAAACAGAAATATATGTGTGAATATAATAATTTCATAACAGATCTGCAACATATTGCCCCCCCCCCTATATATCATGAGGGGAGTTCCAGATGAAAATTTTCTTCCACTTGCATCACATTCAAATAAGTCTTTTGAAAGATCTAGAAGAGCATAGAAGCTAAATATCTTTATACATGCAGACTCACCTTTCTGAAAAATGACAGGTTCAGCTACGTTTTCAAGAGTCGGCACGGAGGAGGGATGCTGTTCCAGAGATCAAGTACCATGAGAGGAAAGGTGCACTTTCTAGGCCCCAATAGGTGAGTTTAATTGAAGGGACCTAAAGTGTGCCTAAGTTGTCCAGTCTTACTCGGTGGGCAGAGATCATGGGATGTAGATAGTTCCTCAAATAATCAATATCTACACAATGAAGGGTTTTCTAGATGACAATGAGCACCTTGAATTGCACCCAGAAGTCAATTGGCAGCTCACAAAGCAGTAAAGACACATGGCACACCTAGGTATATTCTGGATGAGCTACATCTTCCAAATGGTCTCCAAGACCATGCCATATAGAGCAGGGGTGTCAAACTCGCAACGTCACGAAATGTGTCGCGATGTATCATGACTTTTTTCCCATTGCCGACAATGCAGTAGGCGCAGTTTCGCCATGATGCATCCAGCCCGTAGGCCGGCATTGACACCCCTGATATAGAGTATATTGTAGTTATCTAGTATTGAGTTTATCAAAGCATGTGTCTGAAAGGCCTCCAGATCAAGGAATGGGTGTAGCTGGCACAATTGATGAATCTGTGGAGAAGCCCTCCTAGTCACAACTGCCACTTGCTTTTTGAGCAGGATATGTGAATACAGAATGACATACAAATTGCACGCCCCTTTCAAATGGGAAGATGCTGCCCCATCCAAGGATAGAGATGGAGATTCCTCAGAACCAGGTTGCCCAAATATCTACAGTCACTCAATTTTGTCAGAACTGAGATGGTTTCAGATCAAGAGGGTTTCAACTGGGTATGATGGGCAAAAGGATATGAATAATGAGTAGGTAACTGCTCTAATGCTCTAATGCTCTAATGCTCTAGTCTAGTGACAGTTATGAGCTGGATCTGAAATGACTTAGCATTCCTTTGCTAGATCTAAGGGAACTTGATGCAATTTCCCCATTTTATCAGAATATTTGAAATGGGCTGAAAATGCTGAAACAATTTGGGGCAACCCTGAAGTTTGGGAAATTATTAGAACTTTCCTCCTTAAAAATCTGTATTAGGGTGGGGGCAGCAAGGAAAAACATGGTATTTGCTTTTCTTCCTAGTATTGTATCAGCTGTTGAATTGGGAGAAAAAAGTGCATGAGACTGGCTTACCTGTTGAAGGACAAAAGAATTGGCCCTCCATCTTACATAGTAACGAATGGGGATGATCAGTGTATATAAAACATGTAGGAAAGCATAAGCCAAGGCGACCAATCCCAGTTGTTTCCGGCAGAGCATCCATTTATCCAGCCAATCAGGAAAACGACTGTACTTTGTACCTCTGTATAACTGGAGAATAGCTGCAAAGATTCCAGGTAAATAGACCAATGCAAGAAGAACGAGTGCCACAACAGGGCAGATCCGGTTTGCAATTGTAACAGCAATAAAAAAAGAATTATTTTTTCCATTCTCAACATGATTATAGATGATATCACGGACAACACTGTATAAAAATATGAATGCACTGAGAGCAAAAGAGAGGTAGATGGGAAATCTCCACATTGGAAAAAGTTGTAAAGGGTAATTCTCAATTTCTTTTGATGCTAAGAGAGAACCTTTATCCAAAGGAGTAAGACCAAGACTCCGAACAATCTCCATCACCTTTTCTTTTGCTTTTCGATCATCTCCACAGATGAATACCTGAAACATCAAAGTAAAATAAAGTCCCATTGCTTCAATAAAAAATAAAGAAATTATCCCAGTGAGCCAACCTTCTTGATGTCTTGATGACTCTTAGCTTATTAGTTAACTTTTGAGAAAGTTGGCCATTTTGATAAAACTGAAATTAGCCAGAGTGGGGATCTTTGGGGATAACAAAACCTGGAAATGTTTTATGTTCTCTTTTATTAATATACTTTTTAACTTCAATTTTTTATTTTAGTTGAAAAATTAAAATTCAAAATTTGAAAAAGAATTAAGAGCTAAAACAAAACTAGACAAGAACATTAAAAATATGAATTAAAAAGAATAAAACAAAAACAAAAAGACCTCCCCCCCTAGTTTAAATTAGTAAACCTGTTGTAAAAATAATAGCTTCCTCCCTTGCAAAGTAGGTTCAAAATTTATAAGACTCTATGTCTACTTGCAGTATACTGCCATACATTACATATATGAAAGAAAAAATAGTTAATGGGTTAAACCAGTGGTGGCGAACCTTTTAGAGACCGAGTGCCCAAACTACAACCCGAAACCCACTTATGCATCGCCGAGTGCCAGGCAGGTGTGGCCACCAAGTGGCCGTGGCCACCGAGTGGGCGTGGCTATAGTAGTCATGGCAGTGTGGGTGGGCCTGGCCAGGGTGGGCATGGCCACCTCGATGTTGCTCCTGAGGAGGGATGCCTGTGGGAGCCGGGCAGGGTTAGGGGAGATCCAGAGGGTCTCTGTGGGTGGGGCAGTGGGCAGGAGGCTCATCATCTTGTTTTGGCAATGAGCCAATCAGATCACAGTAGGAGTCAGTTATTGATGTCATGTATTGAAATTGAGAGGACATTTGTCAGTGTGTTATGTGATCGCTATCAAGTTGGTTGGGTTTTTTGTGTTCTTTCTTTT